TTCAACCTTAAAGCATCACACCTTATTGTTATTGTATTTCTTATATTTATAATCCTCTCAATTTTTTCGTTTTGTTTATTTTATTTTTCATAAGTGTGGACATAATTTTAAGCTGTATTATGACTGTTAACTTCGTATTTCACCTCACTATACCATATCAACAGAACGTTAGACCCAATTATCCATAACATGCTAAAGTTTCCAAACTGAATCGACAATACCGTTTGAAACAAACTCACTGTTATTAGTATTTATTATTATTATTGTTATCATTATATCTAATAATTATGTCGTTAATGTGGACATATTCCTCCGATTAATTTTTGTTTTAATTTTTAATTTTATATACACTCTGAGTAAATCAGATGCAATATTGTGACAAATGCTGAGAATTCCATTCTGTATTATAAGTACTGTTTTTGGAATAAAGTAAATTATTGTTATTATAAGGTGTCAAGGGCGCGGTATCACTGAGAGATAAAGATACAGACTATAGCAAGAGATCGGTGAATATACTCTGCGACGACTATCCAACACAGAATCGTCAAATTGAGAGGGGCTGCAGGAGTACCATCGTAAATCCTACAATTCTTTATGGCAGTACATCAGGGTATTGTCCAAAGAGTTATAAGAATTACCTTTACGAGTGCATGTGAATCACTTTAGTCATTTACACTGATTCACATGTTTGCTAATCATACGTACGCTTTGCTTCTTTTACGTATCCCTGGTAACGTGTACACTTGTTCGTATTGCCACAACCGAATTAGCAATGACAGCCTTTTGTATTTTGTTGTATTTCACAAGCTCTGATAAAATTTTACTGTTTGTGATTCTGAAGTTGTTTTGAATCCTGTGAATTTATTTTGGGTTTGTGCGATTATGCGGCTGGAACTATAAAATATGATTGGATAGGCCGGGGTAGCTTGTAAAAACATAGTTTTGAGCTGAAAGTGCAACAAATTTGCTAAAGGAATTTTGTCAAACTGTGAGCATCCACTTTACCCGCAGCTCCAACCTTGTGTCTCCTCAGGTTAAACAAGAGGTCTTTTCAAAAGACCTTATGCACATACGTCTGAGTATAAAAATCCCACTATACCATGTCTGGCACGTACTTTATGCGATAAAAATAGTGTTAGGCATGAACTAACTAACCTTCTTTGTACTACTAAACAAACCATTTCCTCCACCCTTACAACATCAACCTTTATTGTTATTGTACTTCTTATATTTATAATCCTCTCAATTTTTTGTATTTATTTGTCTATTTTTTCACAAGTGTGAACATCATTGAAGCTGTGTCATAACTGTTAATTTTGTATTTCCTCCCACTATACTACATCAGTAGAACATTAGGTTCAATAATCTATAACATGCTAAGATTTCCAAACTGAATCGGCAATGCTGTTTGTAACAAACTCACTGTTATTATTATATTTAATGTTCTCAATTCGTACTTCGAATATTTTTGACTTTATATCGTAAATGGGGACAAACTCCTTCGGTTAATTTTGTTTTTCATTTTATTTGCATTTTGAGTAAATTAGATGCAATATCGCGACAAACGCTGAGAATTCCATTCTGTATTATAAGTGCTGTTTCTGGAATAAAGTAGATTACTATTATTATGAAGAGGGAGAAGCATTTATCCAACATGTTGGCAGGATATTTGTCGTTTGGCTATCGGCAGTGTAAAGACGTTCCCATGTAGGTCTCATACCAGCGGGAGAGGTTTATTTCTATGAGTCCTTATTATTTTGACCTTGGCAGAGTGAGTGACAAGGAGTCACGGCGATTGCTGGTACCAACAAGAGGCTGTTGTGAAGAGGGTTCCCGATTATAGCTGTGAAAGCCATGCTGGCATCTGCAGGAATTGTTGTGTAATTCGCGTTCGTGCTGCAAAGTGTCAAGAATACTTCAACGTTGAAGAGCCAGTCTAGTGACCCGCGATAGCATTGACCTGTGTTTTGGTTGTCTTCGAGGGGCGGTGAGAATATGCACTGGCGTAATAAACGTATGCTTGTTGTATGTTTTCCCCTTTGGCTTTGCTTTCCACTTCACCACTGTCTAAGATGGCTTTGATCCTATCTGTTTTCGGAATGTCAGCCGGTGCCATAGGGACTTTATCATATCCTTTAACCAAACCCATTTTCGAGAAAATAGTTGCACCGGCTGGTGTCTCTATCAAGTCGTGTATGCGAGGCAATGGTTAACAATCGGAGGTTGTTTTGGCGTTCACTTGCCAGCAATCACCAGTGGGTCGCCAATCGCTGCTCTCTTTTTTCGGTATCATATGAAATGAGGATGCGCATAGGCTGTTCGATAGCAGATTTATACCAAGGGTGAGCATATGATCGAATTAATTTCTAGCAAGTTGTATTTTGTCAGGAACAAGTCGTCGTGCTTTAGATGTCACGGGTTGTCCTGAGGTTGTGGCGTGATGCATAACGTTGCTGGTTATGCACGGGAGATCGTTAGATGGGCAATTAAGTTACGGATATTTGTCAACAATCGGTTAAAAAGTTGGATCAGGGATTGCTTTCATCTTAACGGGTAACAGGCTGGGGCCTACGTAGGTGATGCCTTTGATAGACAGTCTAGTAGTACCGTCTATCAGTCGTTTTCGGCGGAGGTCTACGAGGAAATCATGATGATTAAGTAGGTCTGTGCCAATGATGGGCATTGTGACATCAGCAAGAACGTAAACCTACGTTCAGATAGACGTATTTCCTACCAAAGGTTGCAAATGATTTTCCACTTGCAGCCTGTAAGTTGAAGGTAAATTCCTTCTGTCAATCTGCCGCTGAAGCAGGAAGGACGCTGACTTCGGTGCCTTTGTCGACTAAGTGTCGGGTCTGACTGACCACATCACTAATGTAAAGTAGGCGACTAGTGCCACCTGTGATGGTTGCACTAACGCGTGCCGGCGGGATAGTTTCCCACAGTCTTTTAGACATTGCTGAAATTCCAAGGTTTTCGGCAGCATTTCGCTTCCTGGCCATAGGTGTTATGATACCAACACCAGTCAGGGTTTATAGTGAACGTAGGTTGGAATTAGATCGGCCACGTGAGTTTCGCCGCTGAGGGGAGTTCGGACGACCGTAGAAGGAATTACAGTGTATGTTCGACCTAAGCAGCTGCTGGATAAATTTGCATAACTCTATCACTGCAGTGTCCCTACCCGAAGTCTGTTCAGCAACTCAGCATATTTCAGTGACTGGCCGTTTAGTTATTTCTAGAATTTTGTCTGCCGAAACGGCCAAGTCATCTATAATAATAAACTGAAGTGTAACAAGTACAGCCTGTATTGACTGTGGCAGTTTGGATGAGAAGAGCTCTCTGAAAAGTCCTTCATCAAACTGACGTTGGTCAATAACTTCCCTCATTCTTGTAAGCGTGCTCACGGCTGGCTGATCACCTAACTCGACGTTACGAAACAATCCATCCAAACTCTGTCGATCCGTGGGAACGTTTCTCCTTAGGAAGGTTGCTTTAAGCAACTCGCAGGATTACTTACCTCTGGGCTCGACATCTGCACAGTTACGCACCTGCTGAATTCCCGTGGTAAGGCGTGAACAATTGCAAGGAACTGTGAACGTTGATCAGTTATCCCATGCTCAAAAAATCAGACTCAGATATTTGAAACCATGATTCAGCATTATTTGGCCAAAATGACATGAGCTGAATGGTTCTGGCAGTTGAGCGAATACGAATGACCTTAGGACTAGGATCACTTATGGCGGAATATATGTAGTTTAGAAACAGTATGGGAACAAATACGAAATGGAACGAACTCACCGAATTTGTCTGCGTATATACCAAAGATGAAGTTCGCGGCTGGACTGACGGTATCGACCTTCACGAATGGAACGAAGTGTAATAGCGCAAGATCTAATACTCACAAATTCTATAGTATTCGTTCCGCCTAGACCAAAGGCAAAGCAAAAGACAATATTTGATCATCCAAATTACGAGATATATTTCGGGACCAAATCGGAGTGCGAGATGAATGCTTAGCTGGCTAGGGATCGTGCACGAACGTGACACGACGGCGTATCAAATGGCGTGGATGCTTGACCGGAAGTCTTCAGCTGAACAAGTCGACTTAGGCAGTGAGGGTCAGTATCCAATGTCCAGTGATGAGTGCTGTGGTCAATAATTTTGAGGAATTATTTACTGCTACAAGCCTTCTAAAAGTGCACTGCTGTTTGCTGTACTTTAACAGTACCTCGTCTCATTCGCGGTATTAGTATATCTTGGATGATTCCTTTACTCCCACATCTTTACTCTTTAACCATTGTAATTTACTTAATTGTGGGCAACACTTCCGCCGAGCTTTCAAAACCTCTCTTTACCTCATTCGGGAACTTTCAGTATCACGTTGCACAATGGGCATCTCTAGCTGTAATCATGACAGTTCCGTTCTTAAGTAGGCGTTTTATTATCATATGAGACAAGTATATGACACCTAAGCGTAGGAACCCATTAAACTTCACTCGACCAACGAGGCAAGTTAACTAAATCCCCCATACTGGTGTCTTCTTGATAGCGGTGTTGAAAATTCCCAGCTCATTCTTTGTGCTGAGTGCAGTAGATTTCCAAATTCATTTTGGATAGTTGAAATTCCATCTTGTCTTTCCGATCCTGGTTTTGGCATCCTCACCCGTGGTTGAATATTTCATATTTTTCAAAGTAATTCAACTAGAAATCTATTAGTACGTCATTTTGAACGTCGCAGCAGGTAATATAAGTTTAACTACACCCCAAGAGAATTGGTGTCTGCAATCTGAACTAACGAGCTCAATGAAAATTAAGTCGTGCTATTTTTTGATGCATCGCACAAAAATTTTTATTCAGATCTGTAACTCAGCGTACATTAGATCTTTTCTCTCATAGTGAAATAACGGAAAACATATATCAAAGGTCTCTTAAATCATAGCAAAAGAGCTGTGTGATAATCCCACACTATACACCACACGTACACTGATTGAATGTTTGAACGCCTAGTAACTTCGATCTCTGCAGCGGCATCTTTGGTCTTGGCGGTACCAGAAGCATGTTCAACTATATGCTTTATCCAGAGAATTATCGCGACATTGGGGCTAGTTTTGTTAGTCACTATTACAATGTTCTGCAAGTCGACCGGGCTCAACTCAACTTGTTCTATCACGTACGTAAAATTATGTTGTAACTTGTGTTTTAGGATCAGGCGAGAATGACGTATGAAGGTCAGGAGATTATAGGCAAGGAGAAAATTGGTGAAAAATTCCGAGTTAGTATTTGATGTTATTCATTGAACCTGTTTAGTCACTCCCTGCCAATACCATTCGGATTGCTACTACGAGCGTGGATGTTCACCCAAGTGAAAATGCAGTCCTGATCCTCGTGTGTGGGCAACTAAAAGTAATATTGCGTTTAACTAATCTTTTGCAATTCACGTGTGTTAGTTCGTTGTTTTATATACATACATTCTTTCCCTCGAAAGACCACCAAAATAATCCTTTGGAAGCGATGACTTCCCTGATCAACTGGTTTCAATAATTCCTGACTGACTGGTTCCAACAAAGAACTTTGCACCGATGTGTAGCCGTTCGAGTCACCAATCTTCACTCAGCACACAAAGTCAGATAAGAAGAAGGAGAAGAAAGCCAATAAAACGGAAAATAGAGGCAGTAAACGGAGATATGGGGCTAAAAGAATAGTAATATTGATGAGCAATATAGTGTTATAGAATATAATAAGTCACAAGAAGTGAATGTATCTATACCATTGAGGACGATTTTGAGCCATACCTCCGATTGTCTACAGCCATTAATATTTACCCTCCCGAAGACACCAACCAGGAAGTCTACACGTGGCTGGCTTAAACTGACTTGTGGATTTCATTGACTAATGTAGCCGTGTTTTTGTTTGATCATCACTGACTTTTCCAGCTCGACCCTAATGCAGCTAACATAGCCCGTCAAGGAAGGCGAAGGCTAGACATGCGTAACACATGTCCTAACCACCTGAATCGATGTACCTTCACAACATCGTGTATCGATTTCCCCTCTTTACCTATCACTTGACGCCTAACCTCACTATTGCCCACCCTATTATACCATTTCACACAGGATACAAAACAATTATTCCTGCCACTTCCCCGTAGGCTCACGTTAACAACGTCGTTTTGAAAGCTTTTCAAGGACCATTTAATACCATATCCAACTAAATTTTCTTAGAAAGGATGAATTCCATGTAAATGGAAATGACCTTTTGACTGGTTTAGACATGCTACAGGTCGAGTCGCCACTATCCATGCAGCACACAGCAAAAGAAAAGAGTAAGATGAGATAATGAACAAAAGCGTGAGGGAAATAATATAGTAATGTGGAGGAACAATAGACTTGGATATGACAGACCACTAAGAGTAAACACATCTGTGCCATCATTAATAACGATGTTTTCGAGCCATATCATGAATTGTTTCCAGTCGCCATTGATTTTTACCATCATCCCCAGAAACGCAACTAGCCAGTCAGGCTGGCTACGTGGCTGGTTTAAACTAACTTATAATGGGTCTCACAGACTGATGAAGCTATTTTTTGGTTTGAGGTTTCGGCATAGACGTTTCTTGATTAGTGTTAAACGTGCGACAATTACAGTGTCGTACGAAGGACTATCAGCTTGTAATTCTGAATACTGTGTTTGTTAAACATTGTCATTAGATACCTAATAGTCCTACCATATCCTAGTATTTTTGCTAACTGTTGTGTCCAACAGTATGAAAATTCTCCGAAGCATGTTCGATATATGCATGATAAGCATAGATTTCTTTCATTCTAGTGTTTTGAGGAATTAGTTTTAGATCCCACAAAGCACTAAAAGGTTTCATCATAGTTTCTTGCCGTTTTCATCGTTCATGTTGGTGGGAATTCTGTTTCACATTTCAAAGTTGCTAACAACTCTGCAGCGGAATACCTGTCACTTTTAGTGAAATATACTTCGTGTTTTGAAAGCATGAATAATGTATCCTCTACAAGTTCTCCAACTTAACACAGCTGAAAAGCTAATTTTTGGTCGACGTTCCAGTTTTTACTCAATTCACTATATTGAAAATTCTACATGCATTTTTGATTTTATTTCCAGATCATTAGATAACCTAATGGTACAGGTTTCTAAGCTTTTACTTTTTTGTTGATATTTTTTAGTGCGATGAAGACCCAGTTCTACCATTTTGTGAAATGTTTTTCCTTCGCAAATTCAACGACTGTTTTCTTGTCAGTGATTCAGTGTTTCGTCTAAGCCTTCATAACTTTTGATGCATTTTATTGTAATTGATTACCAACTGTGAATTCCAGCTTTTCGTCTCTATTCGTTTTTCGTGTCAAATGCCTCTTGTGCTACAGGCATAAACTAAACATCGCCAGTTCTGTACTTCAAGATACTATTTATTGGAAGAAACGTAGTGCTTACCGAGTTTGTACTTGTCATATTTACTTTGAAAAAGTGCCTGTACACTGATTATCTCAAGTCTTCAATACATATTAATTGGAAATCCCTACATATATAGATTTATAAGTGTTTCATGGAAAAACAAGTTCATGAAACAACTGTTCATTTGTGTTCCCGTTATTCGTGTTTGTTTTAAGAATTACTACTCAAAATTTATATGTAGTGGGTAGGTTGTGACTTGATACACTTAATCCTGTAGCTATAAATGAATACGTCATACAGTATTTCAGAGTTCAGAAAGCAGTAGGAACAAATAATGATTTAGTGCCGTCTAGTCAAAATGTCAACTTTGACATAAGTTTACTTGCGCTTAAATTCTCCAGATTGTAATCACCAATTCCCTATGAGGCTAACTAATTGCCGAAAAGCCTTATAGATGACCCCATTAGTTGTTTGGTAGTTATTCACTATTTAGTATTTTTGTGATGATCAAAGAAAGTCATTCACGGACTATTACCGTAATTTATACTGTTTATTGCTTATTCCTCTAAGACATAGATGTTAATAGACTTTAGTAACATATCCATAAATTGCATCTTCCAATAACAATTAGAGGCTTTCGTTTTGTTTCTGACTGTATGGAGAAACGACTTGAAATAATTCTTGCAGTAACATCAAAATATTGGTATTGCTTCCACTCTTTGTTCCGCATGAACGTAAACAGCTGATTATCAAACCGAAAAAAATATGACTATTTTTTGTTCTGGAAGTTGCACAAAATGTATTTTGAGGAACAAGTTAAGAGAACTTGTCAGGTTTGCTAAAGCAATAAAAGGTTTCACAGAAGAAAACATCTTAATATGCTTAAAACCTTACGTGGTAAATGCTATCGTGAAAATCTTTATTAAATTCAAGTATCTTAAAGTCAGTGGCACCACTGTATCGTGTTCCCTTCCTCATTTAATTACATTAATATTATTATTATTCCCTTGGGTTCCAAGGACTCTAACAGCATATATCCGTTTGATCCTGCCCTCTGCAGTCCTCATGTCACCCACGTCAAACCCGTTTCCTACCCACTGTAAGTCCCCACGTGGCATTTCACTTATCGGTCCCCAAAGCCCTGTGTCCAGTTCATCTCCATTTCTCTCGGCATACCTATTATGCAACAGGTTCTTGGTTGGCTCGCTGCAGTGCAAAGTTGCTTGTTGCTATTTTTTGCTAGCCATTTGACCTTTAGTGTGGAGTGAAGGCAGCTTCTGATAAAAAGCACCAGGCTGATTGAAATGCTTTTTGTGACTCATGCACTAAGAGAACCTAATTGATATCGGTGGTGTAAATCTGAATCTTGATCTTTATGCTGGGTGCAGTGCATTTCCACACTGATTTCAGATCAATGATAGTCCTCGCCTTTATGATACTGGCTAGCTTTAAGACCCTTATATATGCCGTGTGTATTCGAGACAAAATACTTCATGGTCAACACTGCTGAAGGCCTTTTCAAAGTTAATGCAGTTTAGGTTAAGCGTTGGTTGCCACTCTATGCGCCGTGTGGTGATGATACGTAGCGTCGCAATTTGATACGCACATTTTTTCAAAATCTGTGATCTCATGAGCAAATAAATGTAACTTAGGTTGTTCTTAAATTTTATGGAGATGTTATCTAACAACCCACGCGGCTAAGGGTTTACATTGTACCGGTTTTAATTTGTACACTTCGATAACCTAAAACGAGAGTAGGGAATCCTTACCAGGCTTCTCTCTTTCTTTTTTGAATCTTTTTTCAACATCATGCCGATTAACTTGCATTGTCATGTGAGTTAGAAAAGTGACGATGGTCTGGTCGGCTTCAGTATCTGACTGTGTCTGTCCTAATTGTACTACTGTACTTCTTTGTTTTCCCTATCTTCTAATTATTTTGAAGTATTTTGTAATCTATTATTGTATCATTTTCTTTTGCTTTATCACCTTATCGGTTGATGGATAGATACGAGGTGTGTTTCTGGTCTACAAAACACTAGTGCTAGGTTCTGTATTTTCTTCAGGTTTCTTTTCTCCCGAACTCAGCATTTTCACTTCTTTCTTGAGTGCTTCTACTATCTTACTGTTAGCACTGACGATTGATTTGCTTTTATGACGACTTCTCTCGACGATACCTTTCTGATTATGAAAGCATGTAGCCTATGCTTTCCCTTGGGTTTTTCGTCTTCAGTTTTTCACTCCAGAACTAAAGTAACGCTAAATACGATACTATTAATCTATTCTTGCCATAGTAACTGTCAGCACCAGTTTGCTAAATATCTCTCAAATTACTTAAAGCATCACACTGACTAATATCTGATTAAACGTTAGATACGTCTTGTACCAGCTATTGTTGTTTAGCGCATTCTGTATCGTAGTACTCCGTCAAGATCTTACGATTGTAGTTAATCTCTTCCAGCTATCCAAAGTGTGACGTACTGAACTGAAGCATTTCTGTGCAGAGCTCTAATTTGATCTGTCCACTTGCAACAGTCACTTCTGACTGGAAATAAAGTATTGAAGTCATGAAGGAATAGTGTTTTACATCCCAGAACACATGAATGAGAGATCACTAAGTATGTAGTCATTCTTAAAAAGTGAATATATAATAAAATTACGACTGCCGACATATCTTAGTTGTGATTAGGGTAGCCGCACTGATTTAACACTTCGTTCTGACTTTTATGTGATTTAATTCTAGTTGTATGATTTTAATAACTTAGCGATAATAACTAATAATTATATTTGACCTCATAATTAGTTAATTATTTCACAAACAGATTTTGATTTCAAACGATTCTCCTAAATATTGCAGATACATTCCATTAGTTGAGGTTTAAATAAAAATATCGCCTACTTATCGCATGTGCATCATAACTGAACTGAAGAGTGTGGACTTAAGCGGCTACATCAAACTACGACTTATTAGCATGCAACTTTGTCTATCTCAAAGATTTCCTAGTAAATCAAATTTACCGGTATATTGGCGAATACTAACCTGTGAAAGACTTGGTTTGTAATTCTGTCCTTGCAAAAGAAACGTTCACACTTATCTAGCTGTGTAAAATCATTATAAAGCAAACTATATCTATGCGATATAAATAACTAGTCACAGTATATTTCCCATACTTACTGACTGAATGTGGACTTTGAAAGTAATGGTCTTATCTGTTTGTTTGTTTATTTCTTTACATTCCCAGTGGAACATAGGTCTTCAAGCTAGAGGCCTGAAGTTTCTGTAGCAGTGGTGTTTATTTTTTTTACGGGATGGGGTTGCCAGCCTCACGCCCAACCGTCCCTCTTTATCAGTCTTATTACTAGTTAAGCGAGGTAAAGGAGTGCATCGGCTGCGGATCGAACCCCAGATCACACGTGTGGTCGGCGAGCATTCTACCGCTGTGCCACCGAAGCACTCAGTCTTATCTGCTTACTATGAGCTGGTGTAATATTCAGCTTGTTACCAATATTCAAAATATTCTTCATTGTTCTCTTATAAAGCATTATTAATATTGCTTAATGTTATTTTACTTGAAATAATTAGTTGTTACCCTAATCCATTGTTAGGATAATGCAATTACTGCCGAGAAAAAGGTTGATTAACTTTAAACTGGCAGAAGATATATAGTCCAAGTAGAGGAAGAATTGTACGACAAGCTTAAGTTTTTTCAACACCCTCGGTTAAAGTCTTGGAATGTTTGATTTGGTATCCACGTCACCCACCCCTTCCTCCCCGAAATGTAGGATAATGTAAAATTAGTTATTCGCGCTGACTTCTAGTTTAAATGTAAAGATAAAGTGGTCAGATGCGTTAAGAAATTCACATACTTATGAAGTTAAATGTCAGCATGGATAACGCTTACCCGTTTGAGATTTTCCAACTTGTATTATATCTTCATTCCCGACAAGACACTCGCTGGACAAAAGTTAGCTCTGTCCTACTTTTCGGGATATAAGACTTGGTGAATGTGAAAAGATCAAGAGGTTCTCGGCCATAATAGCCTTAGTGAGGCACCTATTCAGTAGAATCCAGCGAATACGCACCGGAGAGACACTCGATGACGATGAAGAAAGAAAACTGACACAAACTCTGGGTGATAATAATTATCCAGATAAGTCCATAAGGAGATATAAGTTGGTCAGAATACCGAACCCATTCTCCAACTTACCACTATGAAAAACGTATGTATCAAGCTACCTCACGCATAGGTGATCATAGCAGCTTGACAAAAATTGAACGCTGCGGTTAAAAAGATTATGCAGCTAAGGTCAGAATAATTCCATAATGGATAAGATTTTATTTTGATAAATCACACAGTGTAGTACAGTTATATTAACTGATGACGTTTCGAGCACAAACTATTGCTCATAATCATATCAACGTCATCAGTTAATATAACTGTACTACACTGTGTGATTTATCAAAATAAAATCTTATCCATTATGGAATTATACTCTACCACAGTGCTCAAGTTTTATACTTATATCAAGGTCAGAATAACTGTGAATGTGAAGCCCATATATATATATATATATATATATATATATATATATATATATCCATCTAAGCCCTTAGAACATGCGGAAAGCGATGTCACGTCTTACTCTATAAACCAATTTAAATGTATGTGTAGACACATAGGAAGGACTCATCGATCTCTGCAAGTAAAGGCTTCAGAATATATCCTCCCTAAATGGCTTCGGAAACAAATGGAATCTCCAGAACCCATTAACGATGATAACGGATGACCTAGCTCATCTATTGCGAAACATTATAGAGACAGGACTTAAAATTGATGTTCACACTTCTTTTAAAAATGTGTTTTGGGGCCTATCCTACAATTCGTCATCTCACTAAAGCTTCCTCGGTAAACTTCGTTTTGGTGATAGCAGGGCAGATGAACCACTACCTACTTCCCTTCTTTGGTTGCACGTAAATACATTACACAAATTACGTCTTCTTCTTATTGCTTTGTCTAAATTCATAAAAGGAACTAATTGTTTCTAATTCTCATTAGGTTTTACTTCCTTCTACATTCGTATTTGTCCAGTTTAGTGTTGTTACATTACCATTTTCTTCTTCCACTTGCTTTTTCGGAAGTGTATTTCTCTGTTGACTTGTCTGCCAGTGTGATTTTATAAAATATGATCATATAAAAATTTAAGTATCAGATTTCGTGTTAAATTTTCACAGTAACACTAACTTTTTGACTTTGATAAACATAATCTCTCTATCCGATTGATTATACTCTCCTCGTCGCCGACGTAACCTTCAGCATATTCAATAAGTCATTTCTTTTTGTGCTTTCTGCATTTTCGTACACGTATAGAGTTACTCACAATGATGTACTTACTACTGGTAACCTTTAATTGAGATTACTCGTCAAAGCTTAATCACTAGGCAAACAGTAAGGCGATGTACAATGAAATTAGAGTTTACTACCAAAACACTCACCACTTTTTATGTTTTTTATTGCATAAATTTCATAAATCTGTCTCACTTATTTCATGTAGTGAACAAAAATGATTGAATACGATGCATCATATTGTGTTCTGTGTGTTGATTAATATTTTTTTTACAAGAAAATTTGGAACCATTTTTGGAAATCAGGAAAACCACCTTCAAAATATGACAATAAACTGTTAAGAAAGTCTAAGTCTGCTCCACGTAAATGATATTCCGATTCATGATCACAAATGTCTTC